ATATATATACACACACACATACCAACTCCACACAAGGAATGTAAACATTATGTATTAGAAATATGTACTAATACAAAATAAATAGAAATTAAAAAAATAGGTAGAACGCATGTATAATTCTAACCTCAGGTAAAAATTGACTCACTGACCTAAATTGTGACAGTCAGCATCACATGTTAAGAGAGAGTAATCTCATGGATGCCAGGCCTATTGTCATTGTCAAGGGGTTCAAGAACCTTTTCTTTCTTCCTTTCTTCCTTCCTTCCTTTCTTTCCCTCTTTCTTTATTTCCTTCTTTCTCTCTCTCTCTCTCTCTCTTTCTTTCTTTCCTTCATTCCTTCTTTCTTTCTTTTAATATTGTGGATTGTACCCAGGTGCTTTGCATAGAACTACATCCCAGATAATTTTAGTTTTTATTTTGAGACAAGGTCTCCGTTAGTTGCTAAATTGTCCAGGCTGGGCTTTAACTTTTGATTGATCCTGCTGCCTCAGCCTCCCAGATTGCTGGGATTATAAGCATATGCCACCATACCTGGCTGTCAAGGACTATTTTGTTGTACATTTAAACCAGTTATTTTGATCCCCAGTACAAAAATAAATCAGTTATAAGTAATTTCTACAAATGTAGACACAATCCCACTGAACTTTTTTTCCAGTTATGTAAAGAAAATAGGGTTTCTTCCCATTCTAAAGTGTTAGGCTTTCTTGTCAAGAGAAAGGGAAAATGACTGTTGTCACCTTCTCTTCACTTTCCCAAGAACAGAGCTCAGTCTAATCTTGATGAAGACCTGGAAAGATGGCTGCAGTGACCCAAAGAAAACATGGTGCTGTAAGGCCCTTGCAAGAGCTATATGAGGTTATTGTTCCCCATTAGAGGATTATTTTCTAATTCCTCCTGCTCTTTCTCTTTCATCTTCAGAAGAAAACAAAACACAAAGTTTATTATACACCTAAAATATGACATTAGACTTACACTCCCATTTTCTTCTTATTCAGGAAGTGGAGCGAGGTCTCTCCTGGGAGAGCGAGTATCTGATAATGGCATTACACTGTTGTCGATGGGCAGCCTTGACTCCATCTCTCTACTCTCTCATGCTTGCTCCTCTTCCTCCACCACCCACAGTGCTCAAGATTTTGATTAACAGATGACACTTCAGGCAGAGTCAGGTCTGCGAGATAACTGCTTTTTTACCCTGCCACCTTCAACATTTTTATCAATCATTTGAACTAAAGGAGAAAAGGATGCTTATCAAGTTTTGAGAGAACACAAATCTCAGAATGAACTCTAATGTGATGGATGATAACTAAGGATCCAAAATGGTCTCACAGATAGAAATGTTAGACACTTTAAGAGATAAAAGTAAAGCTAGGCACAGTGCCCACCTGTAGTCCCAGCTACTCAGGAGGCTGAGGCCAGAGGATTGTTAGAGTCCATGAGTTTGAGGCTAGACTGGGCAACAGGAGATCTACCTAAAAAAGGAAAATCCAAAAGTTTTGGATCCAGCATCATAAAATCCTAGACACCTGTTCTGAATGGAAAATTTTGAATTGGAAGCCTCTCCTCAATAATAACATTGAAAGCAGAAAGTCTTATTTTTATATGCTCAGGACTTCACATGCATCTTGAAACACAGTAAGAATTCCAGAAATTCTTGAACAGTGCAGAGCTATGACTCTATGCAGAGCTATCAGCCTCAGGCTGATAGTTATGAAAATGTCAACGCAGCATGAATTCTGCATAGACAGAAATGCGCTGCCTAGATCCGGGTGATGGGTGAGACAGGTAATGTGCTGCTCAGAGGACTCAGGGTCAATGTGGAGCTCCCTTTGGGTGTCACATTTAAACAGGGGTCTTAACAAACAGAAGAGGGTAGCCACAGAGCAGGCAGAGGTCTGCAGAGCAGGTCGATGAGAGCAGCTGAAGGAGCTGGGAGGCTCAGCCTGAGAAGAGCAGATGGAGGGGGGAATTTGATAGCCTCCTTCACATGCCTGAAGTACTGTGAAGTGACCAGAGTCAGCTTACTCTTCTGCCCCAAAGGACACAGCTGGTGACTAGAAACTGCAGAGTAACAGACCTTTATTCAGTAGAGCACAAACTTTCTCCTGGTTACAGCCATGGGATCAGAGAAGCAGCTGCCTTTTCCCTTCCAGCACGGTGGCTACTGCTCAGCAGAGGCTGGATGACTCTGGTTTTTGTATTTGGACAGAAGTAGAATATAACCCTCTCTTGAGCCTGCATTTCTGTCAGTGTGGGTTAAGAGGGGAGAATTCCCCTTTCACCATAGCTAGCTAGCTTTCTTCTTTTTTCTCTTATTTGGCTGTGTGGGGATTGAATGTAGGAGCTTATACATGCTAGGTAAGTGCTCTGCCACTGCACCACGTACCCATCCCCTTTCATTTTACGTATTTGCTTTGACTGTCCAGAAGAAGAAGCTCTAAACAGTGTGGCCTTGGTTCAGCCAGCATCTCTTTAGCACTGCTAGTGAGCCAGGAACTGTGCTTGGGCTGATGATGCATCTTGGCCCAAAAGAGTGTATAGTTGAATTGGGAGACAAATTCTACTTGATAGTTTAGCAAATGTAATCTTAATGTGTGAGATACTTAAATTATTTAGACATTTCATACTAGAAGAAGTTTCAGAAAATAAAGATAAGGTGATAAAATAAACAGTGGTTTTCAAAAGGACAGCCATTACAACATAAGCAAAATATATTTTCTCTTTGAGGCTAGCTATATACTGCAGTGTGGTGGCCAAAAGCAGTCTGATTAGCTAGGCTGCCTGGGTAGATCCTTGCTCTAGGACTTACTAGATGTGTAACTTCTCTGTGCCACAGTCTCCTCATCAGGTCGAGTGGTAATGGTAACTACTCCATTTAGTTATTATGAGAACTGAGTTAACATACATCATGGTACATAAGCCAACACTTGGCCCACAGGAAACACTCCCATAGTCTAACTAATATTTGTTTCCCTTTGAGTGCTGTCCTTTTCTCCTGGGTTTTGGTTATGTGGTTTAATGCCCCAAATCATTTTTATTAAAGGGACACAGAAACCAAGGATCAAGATGTTGGTGAAAAGAAGATCAAAAAGGGAAGAAAGTTTCAAGCCAAAGAGAAGGAAATCAGCTTTTTGGGACTTATGAAGAAGGTATGAATGAATAATTGTTTATATTGTCTGCAGTCCTTTGGCTTGGTGAGCATCAGAGTTACTCAGAATATTTCTCAGATACTACATATAATATTCTTACATTTGATAATTTCTTCTTCCATGCACTTCAGCCCAAATTTCTATTACTTACCAGTTGTACAAGGTATGATAAAAATAAACTGAATGTTTAAAGTTTTTAAAATTTATTGCAGTAAGAGACATACTGCCATTAATCCTTCTCAGAGTACTCCCCCTTGCTTCAAGCATACATATTCCATCATTCTTTCCTCTTCCTGAAGCAGTTCTAGAAATCCTCTTTTGTGAGTATCTTTGAGTTGTGGTAAAAATACAGTGAATGCTACTGCTAAATGCCATCCAAGCAAAAGGCAGGTTTGTGAAAATAGTACTGTGTGTCCTCATTCATTGTATTCACCAGAATTGGAGACATGTAACTTCTGGATCTTCCCCAAAGTCAAAATGACCAGGAAAGGTAAATATATTGAGTTGATTCAGGACATCAAGGTCATCACAGCAGTTCAACTAAAGACTCTTGTAAAAGAAGACTTATAAGGCAGGGGATTTAGCTCAGTGGTGCCACTGCCTGCCTCCCAAGCTCAAGGTCCAGAGTTCAATTCCTGGTACAAGAAAAAAAAAAAAAAAAGAAGAAGACTTCTAAGCCAGATGTGGTGGCACACACCTGTAATCCCAGCATTCAGGGCTGAGGCAG